GGAGCCACGCGATCTCTCTGGCCCCGATGATTCAGCCCACAGGAAGGCTCATCGAAGAAGAATTGTTCGACACAATGAGAAAAACTTTCCCAAACAAAGTGTTCTCCACACCACCTGCCTCCGCGGGGCCGAGCTGAGCCCTGAGCTCCAGCTTTTGTTTGCAAATCGCTTCAAGACCGCTGTTGCCACAACAAAGCTTCGTCCTTTTTTTCCCCCCCCCTTCTCCTTTTCCCCCCTTCTCCTTTTCCAAAAGGTCTCGGCTGAGTGTGGGGCTCCTCATGGAACCCCAAATTGCCCCCACAGCAGCAGCCATGTGTGCACCCATCACACTGGAACAACACAATTCAGGTCCCAGTGCTGCAAATATAGAGTTGCAACCTTCTGTATCCAGAATACACACCCCCAGGTTTCTGGGATCCCCAAAGCACACCCAACAGCCGTTCCTGGGGTTTTGGGGATCCCAAAGCAGCACAAAAAGCTCAGCATTTGGGGGATAACCCCATATGTAGCTAAGGAGTGTCCCCTCTGGGCATCAATTCCAGCGGAGCTCAGGCATCACAGTGAGATATTTACCTTCAGAACGGTTTAAGGACAGATGTGACCTATTTAGAGCTCTGCCAAATATTTCAGTAATTGAATATACCATCGATTATTTAAATTGCATTAAAAAGGGCTGCGTTTGATCTCCTTGCTACTAAGAAGCACCGTTTCCAAGAACCATGGCTTTTTATTCCCCCTCCTCCCCTTAAATATAAATACTTCAAGATGTTCATTTGTCCTTTCCTCTGCTAAGAATCCACATCTTTGCATAACCACACTCTGTGTCCCACGTTCCACTTCTGCCCCTAAAGCCAAGGGGACACAGGGAGAGCTCACCTGAATAAAATCAGCTCTGTTTTAAGCTCCTGCTGTCGGTGCTGAAGACCCACTGAGCATCACCCCAAGTCTGCTGGGAAATCAGTGCTGCTCTACAGCTTTAGGCTCCGACCACCCAAAGGAGCCCCTGTTTCACAAGTCACCTCTGCTGTCCCTGAGCCCTCGCTGCCCCTGGGCACAGGGGGAGGTGCCAGCAGATGGCACTCGGCGTGTGGCACAGCTCCTCCAGGTCTGGGAATGAGCAGCACTCGTCCCCACAGTGCATCTCACACCATTCCCTGGGCGCAGCCTGGGCATCCCCTCCCCAGCAGATTTGGGAACCACATGCAGATCTGAAAGCAGATTCTATTGCTCCGACCCCGCTCATTGCCACCTTTGGGCAGGCACTGATGCATTGCTCAATGGTGCTCATTTTCTCCCCCTGTTCTGCAAACCTGTGCAAGCAGCAGCCTGGCCTCATCCGCACCTCACACCCTTCAGATGCTGCCACACATCACAGGCAGCTGGGCAGGGCTTGGGTTCCTTTCTAAAGCCAGCTGAAATGAAACCACGCCGCAGCCCCTTGCAGCATGGGATGTGCCTCCCACTGCTCCCATCAAGCACGGGGTCAGGGTCTGCAGGCAGCCAGGAGCCACGCTGTGCTGCAGGGCCAGCATCCAGCCGTGCACCGTGCTGCATTCAGCACCTCCCTGTTAGCAGTCTTAAGGGACGTATGCTACAGAGGCAGGAAAGCAGCAGAAAAAGATGGGAATTCTTGCATCCTGCCCCAAAACAACAACAGGACCCAGCAGCAGGCACAGCACACGGATGAACCCCCAGCAAACCAACCACCTCCCCCCCACACCTCCAGATCCCTTGAAAACGCTTCCAGCTGACCCACTGCGAACGATTCCATCCCAACCCCAAGCCAAATCCCCGTTTTGCCCAATGCTGGTGGGCACCTACCCCTGTGCAGTCCGTGCAGTGCTGCCATGTCCACAACACAGCTGCAGTCCTGAGCTCAGTGTCCCATCCCTGCGCTCCTCCTCCGGCCGCCCCGTCCCTGCCCACCGCCGCTGCCTTTGTTTGGGGACGGCAGAGTTCACTCTAAGGACAGGCAGAGGCACTTAAAAGAAAGTTAACGAGGTTTATGGCGTGGATTAAGTTTACCGGGGGGGGGTTTTATGATGCCCTGCCTGGGGAGTTGAGAGCATGGAGCAAAACAGGCAGAGAGCATCCCAGGCAATGAGAAATGCAGGGAAAAGCTGAAAGCGCCCTTAGCCACAGCTCTGATCCCCTTGGCACCAGCACTGTGAATGGCCAAGGTCAGGGCTTGGCTGCACCCCTCCGATCACGTCCACATGGCAGCTTTGGAAAGGCTGTTTGCCCTCTAACAAAAGCCATCCCCACCCCATCCTGCCCGGCTCTGTTGTGGTGATATGGGGGATTTGTCTGGCACGGCTCCGGCTCCGTTTGCTGCTTATTGTCTGGTTCTCCTTTATCTACAGATCTCAAAGCGTTTTATAAATGTTCAAACCTCAAAGCCTCTCTCTCCAGGGAACAAAACTGTTTCGAGCTATTGTACCTACAGAGAGACTTGCCCAAAAATTAAGGCAGTGCCGGAAGTGCAGTGGTGGAGATTGGAGCTGACGCAGCCCTATGGCACAATGCAAAGATCATCCCCTGAATACCTGCATGGACCAACCCAGCTCTGCCACCACCCACCGTGTTCTCCATCCACGACCACTTGGCTGGAGAGCCCTGCAGTCTCCAGCACAGAAATCTGCTCAACTCTGCCATCCAAACCACAACGTAGCGTGTTCATCTTTCAGTTTTCTCATTTTGGGTTAAAAAAAAAAAAAAAAAGCACCAGCCCTACGGTTTCAACTTTGTGGAACATTATTTAAAGGAAACGGAACAAAAAACCACAGTGCTTTGAAAAGGACTAAGTGAACTGGGGGTGAAGGGCTGTTCTCTATTTCAGAACTGACCCAGAAGGACTGGAAGAGGCAGCGATGCTCACATCGGGCTCCCAGTGCTGTAGGGTGGGATGGAGCCAGCAAAAGGGTGCTCTGCCTTGGGGAACCCCATTCCAAAGGCTTGGAGGGATGAAGAGGAGAAGCAAAGCAGCATGGCTGCATGCAAGGATCCTCCTGGATTCCCATCTGGCTCTGCAACCAAGCCAAACTCACCTCACGTTGTTGGTTCTTTGCTATGAGAGCGGTGAGGTGCTGGAACAGCTGCCCAGAGAGGCTGTGGATGCCCTGTCCATCCTTGGAGGTGTTCAAGGCCAGGTTGGATGGGACCCTGGGCAGCCTGGTCTTGTATTAAATGTGGAGGTGGGCAGCCCTGCCTGCAGCAAGGGGGTTGGAGATTCATGATCCTTAAGGTCCCTTCCAACCCTGGCCACTCTGTAGTTCTGTGATGTGGGATAAGCTCTTACCAACAGTTCAGCTTCCAGCCCAAAGGACCTCTGATTTCGATTGCTACAAGACAAACAGCACTGGGAGGACCCCAGACATCAGCTCCCCAAATGGCCATTTCCATGCACAGCATCACCTCACCAGCACAGCACTGCTGGGTCAGACCCACGCCTGATGTTCCACACAAGGACAAACCTGGAGAAGCTCAAGGAGCCCCAGAGAGCACAGAAACCCCACAGGGCAGAATTCACCACTCGTTTCCCCACTTCTGCTCACATCCAAGCAGCATTTCCTGAGCTGCAGGGTTCCATTTGGACAAAGTTCATGGTTTTTTTTTTTTTGCATGGGGCCAGGCAGCACCAGGAGAGCACTGCCAGGAGAGCATCACCAGGAGAACAGCATCTCTGTGTCATCAGCCCCCAAATTCAGGGCTGGGTCATGGCACAGCCCCCTGGGAAGGGTTCAGAGGGGTTGCAAAGAGAGGGAAAGCAAAGGCTTGTGGGCACCTTGACCAGAAACAGAGGCTTAAAAATAAACGAGGGTTCAGTTTTGAGTTCTGAGCTAGCAGAAACCGAGAGGACCCACACAGGATCTCTGCAGACCACAAGGCTGAAGTTCTTCTTCAGCTGTTCTGCCCTCAGCGTGCTCCTGGGGTGCTCTGTACTAAAGGGAAGGTGCTGGGATGAGGCTGTGGGGGATCAGGGCTGTAAAACAGCCAGCAGGAGCTCCCCAATATGCAATGACCCCCCCCCCTGGGCACAAACCCCACTTCTAGGGTTAAAGCAACACTGGCAGTCAGCAGCACAAATGCACAATCAGGAGGGGAAGATGTGGGGAAGGAGGGGGGAAAGCATCCAACTGGAGAATATAATAGTTGGAAGGAAAAGCAGATTGAAAAAAAATAAAAATGAGGGGGTGGTTAAAAAAAAAAAAAAATAACAACAACAACAACAAAAAAAGCCAAGCAAAAAAAAAAAAAACCAACAAAAAACCTCAGGAAGTCATCGAGTCATTGCTGCTCTTTGCTGAAACAATAGACTCGGGATGCTGGCTAAGTTATAAATAATCCTGCTGGCTACACAACACAAATGCAAGATGGGAGCGGGGTAACTATCGCTCTGCAGTGACTCACAGCCTCCTTAATGCAGACCCAAAGAAGGGCAAATGCTGCAGAATTGGGGTGAGCTCTGTGCTGGCATTTTGGCTCACAGGGAACCCGAAGCAAACGGTGATAATCCCTGCAAAGCGCCGGGCGAGCGATGAGATGGGGGGAAAATAATGGCAAGCCACCAACTCCACAAACATCCTCCTCTTTTTAGGAAGGAAGTCGCCATTGCGAGACGATCCAGTGAGGCTGCTGGTGTCTGTTTTCCAAATTGGGAGCGAAGCAATGGATGAGCAGAGCTGGAGCAGCACGGGGAGATGCTCAGGGCAAACCCCAGGAAGGGACAGAAGGGATGGCACAGAGCATCGCGGATGGATGTGAGCCATTTGGGCTCGTAGTTCTCATGGGGATGGGAAGCCCTGTCTTTCTAGGGACCCAACAACCCAGGGTGCTGCAGGTATCTCTATGGAGGCAGGGAGAACTCGTGCCAAGGCAGAGATCATCCCAACCTGAGCCCTGGATCATTCGGAAGTGACCTACCTTCCTTTTTTAATATAAGAGGGGAAAAAAAAACCCAACAAAACCCCAACACAGCACGGTTCAAAAAGAGTTTCCTGACTTGTTATTCCATCACCCCGATCTGGAAATGTAATCACAACAACAACAAAACACAACCTCAACTGTCTTAAAGACTGAGCTGACCTGAGAGGCCCAGGGGAAAGGAGAACAAAAGTCAGAGCCCTGCAGCACCCGTGTGGAAGATCCGAGAGGATGTGAAATAAGCAGGATAGGAGCTGATTTTTAATGTGGTTTTCTTTTTTTTTTTTTTTGCCAGGTAGGCAAAGTAAAGGTCACTGAGAGCTACTGAGAGGTAATGCTGTGAGCAAAAGAACTCGGAGAACAACAGAACAACCAAACCCATGGTTCTGTGCAGAGCTGCAGCAATTCAAGCAGCAGTGCTGTGTGCTGCCCAAAGCTGCTGCTCATGGACAAGTGATGGTTTGGGCTGGGAAAACAAAGCAAAGACCACTTGGAGCTCCACGTTCTGCTGCAGAGCCAAAGTGCTGCAGGGCTGGATGCTTTGCTTGTGTTTTGGAAGAAGGGGTGCCTGTAGGTATTGTCATCTTCCTTAGGCCAACCAGGGAGATGGCAAAGCCTAAAAGAGAGCAGCAGTTTCTGAAATACATCCCTTTACTTCAGGCTTGGGGGATGCAGAACCAGCTCAAGGCCATGCAAGGTATGGGAGGAAAGGTGTGAGCAGGTTGAACCGCGGTACAAGGAGGAATAAAGGCATCTCCTGCTCTCATTTCTTTCTTTTTTTCAAAGAGAGGAAAAAAAAAAAAACAAAACAACAAACCCATGACATTTGATAGGGAGGCACATCCATCTTCCCACCGCCTCTCAGGCCATTCATCATTTGGATAAAATCCAGTTTCACATTGAAATTCAGCTGGACTTTCAAATGCAAATACGAGGAGAAGAGCAACATATGGTAGAGGTTAGTAGTATTTTTCCTAATTAAATGGCGTACTGCTGTTTTGTATAACAATGTTAATGGGGCATTAACAAGCCTTTGGAGGAGAGACCACCTCACTTTTAAAAATATGCCTCCGAAAAGCAGAAGGGGCCCAGGACCTCCCCACTCTGCATTGTCACACAACTGTCCTCTGCAATGGGGGGCAGAGTGGGGCAGGGACCCTGCACCATTGGGAAAGGCAACAGTGATCAGCAACACCTGCATCCCCCACGGCTCTCTCTGTCTGCATGGATCCTGCAGGAGCGTGGCTGAGTCCTCCCCTGGGTCAGGGCCATGTTGTGGCACCCTGACAGAACCCAGCGTGGCTCTCAGAAGGTGAAAACCACAGCAATTCGCCATCTCTGTGAGCAGATGATGATTCAAACCTCTTGGAGAAGGAGAGGAATGGCTCCAAGTGGTCACAACCCCAGCTGCCACGTGGGACAAATGTCACCTCTGACACACAGCACTACCTGCAGGCAGGACACGAGGAGCAGCACGTGCTTTCCTGGAAGCTTTTCCTGTTTAAGACTGGTCAGGGTTCTGCAAACAACACCCTTTACTCTGCATGTTACCAAAACCCACCCACCCACGTGGGTTCCTGCCACTCTGGAATGATGCCATTCATTTCTCTTTGGTTCCTGCCTAATCATGAAGGTTCCCTGCTGGAAAAAAAAGCTTGTGCCACGTTAACTTCACCTCCCTCTTGCTCCTGACGCAATCTCAAGCTAAATTTAGAGAGAGATGGTGCCTCTGGTCACTTTGGAGGTGGGGCTGTGCTGCTCAGGGCTTACAGCAGATGGACAGGAGGTACTCAGGTTTTTCTCCTGTTAGTCTTGGAGCTGAGCTACCTGGAGAGAGATAATTGAAAAATGCAGGGAAATAAAAGCAGGTGTCCTGGCATCCACCTGCTCTAGCAGTGAGGCGATGAGATATAAGCTGCTGCAAAGACATCTGCCCTCCAGAAACATTCAGCACAGCATCCTGAAGGGCATTGACAAAACCACTCCAAAAATCCTCAAAAGATGAATCAAGAAACCTGCACTCACTGCTCACCTTTTCCCTCCTTTGATACTTTTCCCTATGTGCTTCCATCCCACGGAACCACACAAATCCAGAACTTCCACAACCAGAAGGAAAATTCCCCCATCCAACCCCAAAGTCAGGAGGAAAACTCCCCCATCCAGCCCCAAAGCCAGGAGGAACACTCCCTCATCCAGCCCCAGAGCCAGGAGGATCACTCCCTCATCCAGCCCCAAAGCTAGGAAGAACACTCTCCCATCCAACCCCAAATCCAGGAGGAAAACTCCCCATCCAGCCCTAAATCCGGGAGGAAAACTCCCCCATCCAGCCCCAAAGCCAGGAGGAAAACTTCCCCATCCACCCCAAAACCAATTTGCACTGCGTTCAGCACTGCATGGAGGGCAGAGTGGGGCTGTGCATGGGGCTGGCCCAGTCCCATATCCCCAGGGCAGCAGTTGGGGACAGTCCCCTCCAGCCCAGCTCAGTGCCATGGGCACAAACACAGCCATGCCACAGCTGCCAGCTATGGGTTTGAGTGCCATGAGACAGCTTGCCTCTGGAGCTCTCCTACCCCCGGCGCACAGCCGGCCCCACTTACAATTACACATTCAGCACCACAATGTATTTCACACTGTATTTCATGCCTCATTTGGCAACAAAATTAATTAAACTTTAAGTCAACACTGAAGGAGCGCAGTACCTTTCTTCCCTGTGTGGCATATATAACTCAATTTGTTTAAACTAATGTGCTAATCAAGACTTGCAGAATACTTGGGAACCTTCTGGCAGGAGGGTCTGTGAGACCTGCAGTGAGATCATCTCCATGCAGGCTCATCTCAGCTTGGAGGTGCACAAGGACCAACCAACAGCCCTAAAATCACTGCATGGTTGGGTTGCAAAAGACCCCAGAGCCACCCATCCCATTCCCTGCTGCATGCCCAGGGCCCACCCATGGCCTTGGGTTCCTCCAGGAACGGGGCACCCACAGTTTTCTGGGCAATGTGTGAAATGCAATCCAACAAAATGCATTAAAATACCACCCTCTCCTCCAGAAGTCATCACTCACAAAGAGACACCTGCATTCAAACCTCCTGCTTGTGCATCCCGCTGGTTATGCAGCACAATCCCCATCCTCACACCTCAAACCCATCAGCTTTGGGTAAATGCACATGCCCAGCACCTCAATGCTGCCCAGATCCCTTGTCCTCA